GCCTGTATCAGACACACCTTAGTCTCCAGAGAGACACCATTGCTCTTCAGAACTTTGCAAAGATCCCTAACAGGAGACTGTCCCTTGGCAATACGTCTTTTAATTTCCTGGCTGCTGGTGCCAAGAGTGTTGACTGTGGAGCCAAGCAAACTAAAGCTGTGAACAATATCAATCTCTTCACCATCCATCCTGATTATGTATTGAAATTAACCTTTAATGTGATTTGTTCTTTTGGGTTATGAAAATGAATGGGTCTTGTCACTGTTGTATTTCAAGTGCCTAACACAGTGGAAATGCTGATGGTCTAAGAAGTTGTGCTGCAATCCCAAAGGCATGTAGTTTGAATTCACCAGCTGCTCCGTAGAAGTAGAATGGGCAGTCTCCTCCTGTGTGATTGACTGCCTCTGAAAACCCACTAGAGGGTCAGCTATGGGTCATTTCCAACTCAGTTCCAACAACAATACAGTGCCTACTGGCCAAAAAAGGTCTTATTGTGTGCTGTCAAGTAAAAATTGACCCATAGTTGATCTTCTAGCTGATTTTCAGAGACAGTAAGAGATTGCCCATTGGTTTCCCAGAGAGCAGCTGGTGCATTTCAACCACATGACTTTGGGATTGTAGCCCAGCTTCTTAACACCAGGTAACCAGAGCTCCCTTTAAAGTATCTAATATGTGTTTTATTCAACTAAATTGGTGAAAAAAAAACTTATATTACCTGATAAACATAAGAAGCTAATATGTTCATCCCAAGGTACTATTTTTTAGAAGTTGTGATTGATAGTTCAACTAAGGAAATCTAAAGAAATTTTTAAAAGGACTCTTTCTCAATATGATCTGCAACAAATTCTCCCTTATTGCTCCAAACCTATTGAATCAAAAGCTCTTGGGTAGGGTGTCAAACATCCTGTAATTTAGAAACTTGTTCAGGTGATTTTTATGCTCACTAATATGTGAGAACATAAACTCAGAGAGTGATGACAGGGTCATAGAAAGTGCTGGTAATAATTGGCTTTTGTTAAAAACCGTAAAATTAAAGTCCCTTTCTCCTTTCTATCCCTAAGTAAGTTTACAGTTTATTTTTGATGGCTTTAGTTTGAAATCATCCAAAAGATATTCTCTTCAGGCCATGGTCTTTGCAATCACTTGCTATGCGTCAGAGACCTGAACAATGACTAGGGAGGCTAGAAGGAGAATTGACGTCTTTGAGCTGTGGTGTTGGAGAAGAATATTGAATATACCATGGACTGCTAAGAAAACAAACAGGTTCAGCCTAGAGTGCATTAAAGCAGGCTGCTCCTTGGAGGCAAGGATTCTGAAGCTTCATCTGACATACTTTGGACATGTTGCAAGGAGGACCAGTCATTGGAGAAAGATGTCATGCTTGGGAGGGTGGCGCAACAGCACAGGAGAGGAAGACCCTCTATGAGGTGGATTGATTCAGTGACTAGGGTAATTGAGGTAGGTGTGTCGGAGACAGTGAGATCCGCACAGGATTGAGCGGGGTTTAGGGCTGTTGTATATAGTGTTGCTATGAGTCATGGGCAACTCCTGGCACATAACAACATAACATGTTTTAGTGAAGTGTCTATCTGTATAAATGCATTTGTTAAGTGCATTTCAATTTAGACACTTGTTAACCTGTCAGATTCAGTTTTTAAATGAGTCATCATTTTAGTTATTGTCCATATTTCTTTAAGGTGTAAACATTGCTTAGGATAAATTACAATGTGATAAAACAGCATTATATTTTATTGTGGTGTTGTGTACTATTGAGTTGGAACCGACCCATAGCTGCTGGATTGCCCATCCTTTTTCCGCGGAGCAGCTGGTGGATTTGAACCACTTAATTTCAGGATTGCAGCACAACTTGTCATTAGGCTACTAGTACTTCCTTATAAAAGTAAAAAGAAACTGTTAACTGTTTTATTTGGTGGAAAATTTTGGGGCTTTAATTTTGTTAGGGAAATAACTTGGGGCAACATGAAGTTAATCTGTTTTTTTAACCAAGAGAAAAAGATGTTCTCTATTGAGAGCAGATGGCTAACACTGCTTTTTTGCATCTAGTGTCCACTTTTCCAGGAAATGAGTCCCATCTGCAGTAAGAAGAGTGCTGACCTTTAATAAGCATACTAGTCACTTTTGCTAGCTCACTGCCAACTTAATAATAGTGCATGTATTGTGAATTTGATACAAAGTATGTGTTAACTAGATTGTTTTCTTTTGGGAACTTCATGCTTTTGGAGACAACAAATTTGTGTTTCTAACACTGAAATTGAGTTCTTCCAAGTTGACTTGTAAATAGGTGGCACATTTTGGTGTAAGTTGAATACTTATGACCTACATTAGTCATTGGTCCAGAGACAGATAGCATCAGCTTTATCTTGGAACTTGTTGAAAATGTACATTTTTGGGCCCTACTTTAGATATATTGAATCCAAAATTTTGAGAGTAGAGTTTGGCAATCTCTGCTTTATCAAGCCTTCTATATCATTTCTGCTAAGGTGATTTCTGCTAAAATTTGCTCGGTGGATTAAGAGTTAGCTTGTCACTTGTGATTAAATTTAAGAAGTTATTACTGATAGTTTAACTAATGTAGAAGAAAGCAGGGCATTGTAAATTTACTTGTGTATGGCTAATAAAGCAGCCAAACTTGGAAAAGCATGATGTTTTTAGTGAATATGCCTTGGTTTGAATCCTCTATCACTTTTTAAAAATACCATATTGGACAAGTTACTTGATGTTTCTGTGCTTTAGTTTCCTCATTTGAGAAAGAATCATAATCTCTAAAAGAATTGATTTTAAAAACAGTTGATGTATGGATTAAGGTGCTCAATAAATATTTACTTAAAAACCCGAGTTTAGAATTAGAGGCATACTTTCTGGGGACAGATTTTAATTTTAAGTGGAAGAAGAAATAGGCAGTCTTCTCCCTGGTTGATGCTGGCATCTTTCTTGAAGTTTCAAGTAACAAAGTAATTTAATTTACTTGAACATAGTCTTCGAAATGCTTCATTCTCTGAACGTCTTGAAAGTGCCCTGGGTTACTTAAAAATGGAGGCAGTTTAGCCTCAGTTAGTTGGTTTGCAGGTTACTTTGTGCAAGTGCTTTATATATTAATTTAGGCATTTCCGTTAAGTAATGCATTTAATTACATTGTTAAAAGCAAAAACTATATAAGAAAGTATTCCCTGAGGGGAAAAACGCTCATTTCCATGAGACTGATAGGACTAAACCAACTGCTCTACGACTGCTCTTTTTGCTCCTACCCACACAATATCCAATCACTTTTCTTGCTTTATGTATTCTAGGCTTTGTTTATTTAAATATTAACAAATATGGATCATTTCCTCCTCAACACAAAAAAGAACCCATTATACATAGTGTCTCTGTTGTGTGTCTTTTCACAGAGTGCCATGAGTCTTTTTTATCATTCATTTTACATGCAATAAACTGCTTTCCATTTAAATGTATAACTTTTGAATTTTGACAATAACATGCTAACGATACAGCGTATTTCTCATAAATTTTTGTTTTAAAATATTTCGTTATATGGCTGGACCATAATTTTTATAAGCAGCCTGCTGTTAATGGGCCTGTAAGTGCAGACACCAACAATGCTGCAATTAATAACCTCTTTCATACATAATTTTTCTTCTAAGTTGATAAATCAGAGTATATAAATTCCCAAATGTAAAATTGTTGTGGTAAGGGTGAAATACATTTGCGCTTTGGTAGATATACCAGTTATCCATCAGTGGAAGTAGTATCTGTTTGTTCTTCCACAGTGTCTAGCTAATGAAGTGTGTTTTGAAACTTTTGGATTGTTTACAGTTGAGTGAAAAATGGCTATCTGATATAGTATTAAAGTTTAATTTTCTTACTGAGCCAAGTTGAATTAATTTCCCTATGTTTAAAGTGTGAGTCATTTGTGTTTCTTTTTCTATAAAATTGTATTGTTATGTGCTGTCGAGTTGGAATCAACCAATAGCTGACCGTCCAGTGGTTTTTCAGAGGCAATGTAATTGCACGGGAGATTGCCCATCCTTCTGCCATGGAGCAGCTGGTGGGTTCAACTGTATGCCTTTAGGATTACAGACGAGCTTCTTACTGTGTGGCCAACAGAGCTCCCTTTCTGTAAAATATCTGTTCATATTCTTTATTAATTTTTCTGTTGGAGTTTTTGTTGTCTATTTTTAAGAGCTTTTTCTGTATTAAAAGATATTAGTAATTTTACCTTTTTTCCTTCAAAATTTCTTTTCCTCCCAGATTACTGTTTGCTTTTGGTATTGTAAGACCTTTTATTAGAAGGTGTCCTGGGTTTTTTTGCTCCATAGCATTATCTCCCATAGAATTGCTTTGACTTCTTTGTTTTTCCCTCCTTTTCATTTTACTTTTTTCCATACTCTTTGTTATTTCTTTCAAAAAGGATTTTTAGGAACTTAAAGATGCTTTTTTGTTAGTAAGTGAATGTTATTGAGTGGTTTTTATCTATATGACCTTGGTTCATCTATTTTAAAGGCCATGTTTTTGGTATACTGTGCACTGGAGAAGGAACCTGTGCCAATGTCCTTGCCTCCAGCCTTGGTGCCACCTTCTAAGAGAAAAACGGTCAGTATATCAGGCTCAGTGCTGTCAATCCCTTCTTCAGCATCAGTCAAGGAACCTTACCACTCCTTACCACCTGTAAGCATTTTACCTGCCAAAGCACCATTAAGACAGGTATAGATTATCAGTGTTAAAGGATTTTTTTAACAGTGCATGGCATTTAACAATTGATTATTTGGTAAAAATGAAAGGAAAATCAAAGGGTTTTATATGTAAAGCTTTCTCTGGTTGAACCTACATAATGTCATGTTTCAGAGAAGATTGTTGTCGTTGGCCTTGCCTGATTTATCTAGAATTAAACCTGGAGATAGCAGATGCTCCATGCTAACATAGCATGCTTGCCCTTGCATAGTATTTTTGTTTACTTTCTTGTTAACTCTTGATTCTTTGGGGTCAAATTAAATTATTGGCTGCTCAAGGTCTTTCTGTCTAATCTTGCTGCTTATCAGTTACATAAAAGAAAAAATATTTTCAGTAAGATGCAAATTGTTAATTTGGGCTATAGTTAAAAATTCTGGAAACTGAAGCTTTAAATGAAGATAATAAAAAGAAGATTAAGGATTACTTGAATATTTTTATTTATATAGACTCTCCTAGATATCTGTATTAATACGAGAATCCATAAATCAAGAGTTAACTATGCCTGAATTTATATTTTTTATGTGTGTGTGTGTGTGTGTGTGTATATTTTTTTTTTGTGTGTGTGTGTGTTTGTGTTTGTGTGTATGTATATTTATATAAAGTAAAATGAGCATCCAAAAATAGAGTCCCAGCTGAGCTATATTTTTCTTCTTTGGGTTGCGATGGAACTGGTATGCTGTTGTTGTAGCTAGAGGAAAAACATGTTTAGAATTTGTGATGGATAACTTCATAAGTTGAAAGATGGACAAAAGTTTGCTTTATTGTGGCTAAAAACCTTTATTTTCTTTTTCCCTCCTATAGTGGGTTGTATCTCCTGCAGAAAAAGCTAAATATGATGAAATCTTTGTGAAAACTGATAAAGATTTAGATGGATTTGTTTCTGGACTGGAGGTCCGTGAGATCTTCCTGAAGACAGGTTTACCTTCTGCCTTATTAGCTCATATTTGGTAGGTCTTTTTTTACATTTATTTTTCAAACAACATGGTTTTGTATCAGTTCTTTGATGTCTCTTCTTCTTTTTTTTATTAAATTTTATTAGTTTTAATGAACATTTACAGAGATTTTGGGTTTTCATTCATTCATTGTTGCACTGTTTT